GTTACGTAATAAACTGAGGGGCCACTCTGGGAATACACCAAGTTAAACTACCAATATGTAACAGGTCCTGTTTCCATTTATAAACGAAGTCGCTAAAAACAACCTCTGTAACTTTTGAAACTACAAAGGGAATATGGTACACAAAGTTGATATCCTTAAAATGATTCAGTTTTAAATCCGACAACTTCTTACTCACTCTAAAATTCCAATTCCGATTATATCTTAACGCAAAGTCATGACTCCATCTAAATATCTTACTTGTAACTCGATTAAGCCCTAAATGACCGAGACGCCTGAAAAACCTCGACACACTCCTCCACTGATTTACAATTGTTGGGTACCAGCCCATATCTCCGATAACAGCATTATTAGGAGCAAACTTGCGCAGACCCAGAAAAAAACGCATAGCTCTGTTATGAACAGCATTAATACAGGAGAAACTATAAGTACCCCATATTGCACAACCATAATCAATAGTAGACCATACCATAGAGTGATATAACTTAGAGTAAGTTTGAAATTGCACACCGCCTAAAAGCTTATACTTGGTTATAAGTAAACCTAAAGCCCTGCTAGCTGAACTCGCTACCGCTTTAGCCATGAGACCATAACCTAGATGTTCTGATACAAGCAGACCTAAATACGTATAACTGTCAACAACTTCTAATTGCATATCACCACCAACAAAAATAAAACGTCAGTTCCGACAACAGAAGCTCCCCTAAAATGGATAACCTTGGACTTAGAGCAATTAACCGTCATTTTGTTACAAACGGTCCAGTTATGCAGACATTCAAGCATCACATTAAGATCATTCTCACACGCTGCAATTAAAACAATATCATCTGCATATGCTAATATACCAACATTACTACCATTAATATCGACACCCAACGACAAATTTTTAATTGTAACAATAAGATCATTAATGTACATATTAAAAAGTACGGGTGGTAAGAGACACCCTTGTTTTAAACCATTGTTTACATCGAACCATTGGGTATAAAAAACATTTAGGTTGACAGAACATTTAACATTTTTATAAATTGACCTAATTGCTTTGAACATATTTCCATTCACACCGATTGTATCCAGTTTACACCACAGCAATGTTCTGTCTATACAATCGTAAGCCTTCTTAAAGTCGATAACAGCAGTGAAAGTCGATTTACGTTGAAACTTCCAAGTTTCAATTATAGATGTAAGACTTGAAATATGTTCGGTAGTTGAGCGGCGTTTTCTAAAACCATTTTGTAGATCATCGATAAGTTCGTTTTCCTCTGTGTACTGACATAGTCTGTTATTCAGAACCCCACAGTAAAGCTTGTAGGATGCACTAGCAAGTGTGATGCCGCGATAAGACATTGGGTCTCTCGGGTCGTCAGCTCCAGACCTAGGGATAGGGGTAATGATCCCCTATACATGATTGTTGCTAAAAGGTTGGGCAAGTCCTCAATACTATCTAATTAAGAAGCTGTGCAACCTATCGGGCTTACACGAAAAAAATGGCTTGCTACGCTTCTGAGTGCCAAAATACAACAATGGCGTATGACTTACAGTACCTCGTTGAAAGAATCCTTCAGTAATAATTTTCTATTTTTGTACGTCTAGTATTTAAAATATTCTGAAGAGTTATTTAACGTGTGATACAGGGTGGAAATATACTCTGGAACCTCACTAGTTGACAATCCTTTTATCTATGCCCGTTTGCGCTTAGACGGAGCTCAGTTGCGAAAAGTGGCCACGAAAGGCGTACGAGTCCCGATTCTGTTGGTCTCGGAATAATACGGGTAAGTCACGAATGATAAGATACATACCGGCTTTCACTTTCGCGGCCTGGTGCTGCTGACGTTTGGACATTGTCAACTCTGTTATGATGTATTTAGGCCATAGGTTACATCAGGTCTTCCAGGCTTTCAACGTGACTCGTTTGGTAGTGAATGTCGCCACCCCAGCCAGTTGTCCCTAGCCTAAGCGGCAATCAAGGCTCATGATGTCAGCCTCTAGATTTTCTGGCCCAGATTCGATTATTTACAAACTTGCTGGAATTTTTCTGGAATGTTGCTGAGTGCGCCGATAAACAACAAACAAACCCATTTCAAGGAACTTTAATATTTCTTATCCATATTTTTCTATATCTGTAATAGACCGCCTCCGTGGTGTAGTGGTTAGAGGGTTCCACCCCCTGACCGCGTCAGACCAAAAGACGTTAAAATATGGTACCTGCCTGGCGCTTGGCATTAATGGGTACAACAAGAACTGGTCGGCTCAGAGTCAGTATAATGTGTCTGAGTGGGGTATTCATGCCTTACTGCGGTACGGTATTTCAGTGAGCTAGCACTATAAAACCAGCTTAGGTCCGGGCTAGTACAAGCAGCCACACATAAACACACGCTTGCACGTCGTCATATGAGCGAAATATTCTTAAGTGCGATTTTAAACCCAATTTCAATTCACCTCATAGTCTGTCGTACAGACCCTGAAGCAAATATTTCCAAGAAAGCCCACGCAAGTCTAGAAAATGTGGCAAGTCTAGATTTCCTCAGCTTTGAAATGAAGAAAGTCTCAGGGCTCCTTTTCATTATATTATATTTTCTTTTACTATGAACTTTTTCAGTAAAATATGTTCATTTCAGAGACTAGTTGTTAGTCTACTCACCTCACTATGTCTAAAGTTTTGAAGGATATCACAAATAATTCAAAGTTTAAAACTATCTTGATTTCTCCACTTCAGACCACAGTGACATCAATTAACTACCAGATTAAAAATTGGCAGACCATTACGATCCACTGTCCCACATATACGGCAAGACGCAGAAACAGCATTACAGCTTACAGCTTAGGTCGAATATTAAACGAGTGTTCAGATTAAGCCCACCAATCCCCGTAGTCACATAATCTGTCATCGGCTGTCAGATCTCTCTTATCTTGTGTTTATAATGAATAAATATGTCTCCAGCACAAAGCCCCTTCCACCTCCTCTGTCTCGCCAAGTTTTCTTTCTCTGTTCTTAAAGATATTGAATGTAATGAAGACTACATATTGGTTGTGTGCACAAGCAAATTAGTTTGTGGTTTGAGTGTATTGGTATGATGTATCGATCTTCATGAACAGCCTTAACTTTGATGCATCAGTGACAAAAATTATGTCCGATGCAATTCCCTATTTTGACTTATGCCATACGTTCCCGAATTATTTCAGGCGAATAAATGACTAGACTTTTCATATGTTTATGACGGGGGCCACCGTTGGGGCGGGATACGCTCACCTTTTCGCGAACACTTGGTATCATAACTATTTCATAGTGATTCATAAACACATGCTCTGTCATCGTATCGCATTGGTGACAATCACTGGATTGTCTGGTCCTGACTAGATTTGTAATACTGCTGAAACAAATACATGTATATGCTCATGATATTGTCACAATTATACAATCGACTCTGCTTTTAGCAGATGTTTCTATGCACGTGGAAAGGGTTTTGTCGCTTCTATTAATGTATAAGAAACGTGGTAAATGCACAACATGTTTCACTATGCATCAAACTGTCATCTGAAACGGTGGAGTTGGGTCAGTGATTGGTCAGATTATTGATTTGGATTAGGAGTGAGTATGATTTTACACCGCTTTTAGCAATATCCCAGCAATATCACGGGGGACACCAGAAATGGGCTTCACACATTGTACCCATGTGGGGAATCGAACCCATGTCTTCGGCGTGACGAGCCAACGCTTTACCCCACCAGGTTACCCCACCGCCAGATTTGGATGAGGAGATCGTCTTGACATTTAATCACGTGACAGTGAGGTGCGGGCCAATCGTCTCGGAGGCAACGCGACATGGATGTAAAGGGATTAAAGTTCCGACATAAATGTTTATATATATTAATATGTCTACTTGACATTGAGTGTTTCATAGATCACCAACTCATAAAAACTCGTGTCAGTTACCAGGTGATTCAGTCACTTGCCACATCACCTCAGAACGAGGTATAAAGTAAATGATGTTAGATATAAGGCTTTGAAATATGGATAAAAACTATTTTGTGTTTCCGGAACATGCGAGTTATCACATAACCTGAGAACAAATGACCTGTCAAAGCGTGTAGTTTTTTGGTAGAAGTACGTTTTAAGGTAAGGCATGTTTTTGAATTTACACCGAGACATAAACCTCCTACACGTTAACAACGGCTTTCAACAGCTCTTGTACTAAGACCGCTATCTGCAGGTGAGTCGCGGACCTTTGTCCGTCTTTAACAAAGCTTTCAAAGACATTGTTTACATTTGCTGCATCAGTGACAAATATTATATTGAATGCAATTCCTCTGTTCGACTTGAACAACGTTCCGCCCTTTCCTACAGATGAACATATGATTTTGTTTTGCATGTGATTGTTGCTAGTTTGGGTGGGATACGCTCATCTTTTCGCGGACAATTAATGTTATCACTATTTGATAGCTGTTCATAAACACATACTCACGATACAGTCAGAATCAAACAATCAGAGATTAGTGAGTGAGTGAGTTAAAACCTAAAGTCACTTTGGCAATATTTCTGTTATATCGTGACTAAAACAGTAAATACTTTATAATTTTATTTTATAAAATCTGTCGCCAAAGGAGAGTAAAACAACTAGTATATCACGGTTCCAGATTCAAAACTAGCATGTAACTTTAACTTTATACTATTTACGACGTTACAAGCAACTGAAGGTTGACCATGGGGACTCACAGCGCCTTTACTACATGCCTGGACCCCAGCTGGATTTACACCATCCTTGTAGTCAAATCTAGCCATAATTTAAAATTACAAAAATACTACGTTTTAATAATCGGGTCAGTTTAAATTTATTGTGAAAGTTTTGTGACTTACGTACCCAGAGATCATTAGATACATCTTATGAAAGTCTTGTGTCGCTGTTATTTATTTATAAGTTCATGTGTTCATGTGTGCCACGAGTTCTGTACTATTTTCTTTAGTGAATGTTCTTTTTTCAGGTTTACAAAACGAAGGCTGAAGGGATAACGGTAAAGTCTTAAGTAAGTATACTCATTTTTATAGTTGTAAATGTAATTGATTTAATTAAACTGTTGATAGTTCTTGGGAAATATTTGATTCAATGCCAACTTTATCTGCAAACATAATTTCGTTATGTAGATCAAAGTATCAATATATAAACACCACGAATTTAAAGATTATATCATATCACTGCTACGAATAACCCAAGACTATGGAATATCAGTTTAACATGAAGTAAACATAAATGTAAGAAAATACGTGCTGAACTGGTAAACAATCTTGAGGTTGACTATGCTTCAATTCATAATATTTCAACGTTGCATTGATTGCAAACAAGGGAAAAGATGCCTTGCATTCAAGTACCATTCTGAGACAAATTATGTCTCCCAACATGTCCGACACATTACCAAAAAATTCATTTTCAATTTTACACATCTTAGACTTGGTAGCATCTAACTTAAAATTCAACCAATTCCGTCTGCCAACAGACCTCTGCGTCCAACAAGTTGGTAATATAATCAAATTGATTTATGAATTCTTGTCAAGCTTTGTCAGTTATTTAAATACGGACCATAATAACACGTGTAGCCGCCTCCTAATAATTACAGTCACTATAAACTCATTGTAAATACATGGATGCTCTTAAAACATATGGACAAAATGGACCAGAACGGACCTGTTTATTAATATGTTTTGTTTGATTGGCATTCCAGAAGTTGGTGAGCTTGAAAACTGCGTAAGAATCCGAAATGTTGCTCTATGCAATAAACAAGAAGTTGTTATCCATAAAGTTGTATGCTTTTGTTATTGACCTGTTGATTGTCGTTCAGAGCGCATTAAATCAGTGGAATGAACAAACTGCAAAGTAGGAAACAAACTGGAATAAACCCATTGTGTCATAGCTAGATGTCATCAAATGTGTGGCTGTCCAGATGAAACGATTTGTAAGTGTTCCAACTGACAAGGCCTCAAATAACTTAACCATTTTATGTTAGTATCATTGCCGTACGTGTGTGATCGAATGACTTGGTATCAAAAAGTGCCTCAAAGAAGGCCGGTATGTTAACCGAGGATAGCGTCTGCAAACAGGAAGAATCAGTACCAGCAAGACCTTGTCGCAAAGATTGACCATAAACCCCCAAACAGCTTCCTCGATAATATCCACAAGTACCCTGGATGCATCTGTGGCTCGGCCCATAATTCTATTACCAGGCCTATACTTCACAACGTTAATTGATATATGTTTCGTTATGCAAATCAGAAAATGTATATCTCATGTGTGGTAACGAGTTTAACTTATAAGCATGAAATCCAAATTTGAATACTTTTTCTGAAACCTGTGAAGATCCGGGTCAGCATTGGCCTCCAGCACCCATGCTTGTCCTAAGAGTAGACTGAAGAGATCGGGTGGTCAGGCTCACTTACTTGGCTGACACATCCCAGTTGAGTAGATCAAAGAATACAAAATACCGGGAACGTATGGTACAAGTCACAATAGGGAATTGCATCGGGTATCATTTTTGTCAATGAAATTTGCCGCTCTTGAAATCTTGATGAGAAGGACACGCTCGATTGTACCTCAAAGGGTGTTCCTCAAAAGTTGAAAGATATGAAGTTCATTGCCACCATAATGATAAACCAAATGTACATGTACATAACCGACATTGTCAATCAACACCAGATCTAAGGCAAATGATGACACATATATAAATGGACAAAAACATCTCTATGACATGCAATCTGGATAACATCCTTTGATGTTTTCTCACGTTTGGATTACCATAAGACAAAGATCAAAGACATGCTCACATATCCACATTAAACAACAGCACACTTTGATGAATTAAATAATAAGTAACACGGAAGAAAATGGTTTGTTTATTGTCCTCGCCTCCTAAAAAATGATCAATGTTCCCCGTTGCTGTTCAGTTGACAGAACATGATGGATGGCAATATGTATAGTAGCGAAGCGGTACTAGCAGCCAAGCGTTTATCACCATGCTATGTTAGACAGATATATGTAATTGATTGACAGACTGGGCGACACTCGGATGTGCCCGAGCGGACGACAACTTCTAGGCAGGAAAAACGTGAGTTTTCTGAATTCTTCTTTAGAATTACTTGTTATTGTTTTTGCCTGCATGGGTTTCTCATCGATGAGATTCGACTCGCGTGTGATACAGTGGATTCCTATATATTCCGATGTGAATCATTCACTTCACAGAATCTATGAATTCGTTGTTGTCGACATTCGATGAAGGAACGAGCAACAGTTAGTAAAAACAGGGTTAAACTGTTTCATATGTTTTTCATAAAATGTAAATCGTCAAAGCAAAAGAACACTCCTACTCGACCACCAATACAAAGAGATTCAATTTGGTGTAAAGGGATAATATATGTAAAAACTCAATGAGTGGATTACTGAAAATAAGTGATGACACCGGTATTCGCGAAAAGGTTAAGCATGTCCTGCCTAGCGGTAGCACTCACCATTAATACAATTTGCTTACAAATGTAAGTGTAAAATGTTTATGAATGCATACTTGATCTCGTCACTATATGGCTGGAACTATGCCGATGTGACGTAAAACCCAACTCAACTGAACTACAGAGGTCTGTAAACTAATCAGACAATTACGAGGTCAGTGAACCAGAAAAACAGTTGTCAATTTTGAATAACGGTACCGTGAACCTAGTTCAGAGATTTCGCTGCCTACAAGTATAGAAAGACGTTTGGAAATAGATTTGATCCAACAACACAGTAGTGGATAAGACCCGTGAAGGTCCGGGTTAGAAGGTCCGGGTTAGAATATTGGCCTTCAGTAACCCATGCTTGTCGTAAGAGGCGTTTATCTATATTTTTCAACTAACGGGTTAGAATTGGTCTTCAGCAACCCATGCTTGTCGTAAGAGGCGACTAACGGGATCGGGTGGTCAGGCTCGCTGACTTGGTTGACACATGTCATCGGTTCCCAATTGCGCAGATTGATGCTCATGCTGTTGGTCACTGGATTGTCTGGTCCAGACTCGATTATTTACAGACCGCCGCCATATAGCTGGAATATTGCTGAGTGTGCGTAAAACTCAACTCACTCACTCAGTAACTAGTGGATAAGTTACAAGTTCTCTTGAGACATCAATTAGCAGTTGTCGTGTTCAACAGTTAAATGAAGATGCCATTTATCTATCTGTAGCACACACGCATACATACACACACACACACACACACACACGCATGCACGCACACACACACGCACAAACTACGAATCTTTAATCCCCAAACAAGGGTTCAGCAACATATGAGTAATATTCACTCAAATGTCCCAGACGAGTTGATGAATCATGTGTATCAACACGACTAAAATTGATGAAATGTCAATTTCGGTTCATTTCCCGACGACTCTGGTATTTCAATTGTTACATACTTCAATATATCACATTCGAAAAGGTAATATTCAACTAGCATATGCAATAAATCGTGATCACAAGGAAACGCCTATGTCAAAAACAACGCCATTTGCTGTTTATCACGTCGTCCTTCTAAATGTCACGGAGCTCTGCTCCAAGATCAGAGTGTGTAATAGGAATATAGTAATACCAGAAAACGCGGTACAGGTTCACAATATAATTACCAGCAGCTACCTATAACCAAAGACAAGCAATATAAGGGTAAAACCCCAATTAACACCGACAATGATAAATACATGACACGATTTATCCATAACAACTTCTCTCATAAAAACGTGTCATGTATTCGTGTTCATCCAACTTCCAAACGCCTTTCAAGAACGGATCGGCGATAGAGAGACCATGAACAAAGATGATCAGCTAGGCCGTTACCGATGATAGCTGAAACCACCTTCTTGTTCATCGACATATGTCATACTGAGATTTGATAAGATGTGTATCGATGGATACAACCTTCAATGTCAACGACGTAAAAATGATACTCATGATGACATGAACAGACATGGCCATAAATAAACACGAATTGTCTTATCTACGAGAAACATCCTCTGGGCAATTCTATTCTGAATAATGACACATTTTGTTCGCTGTCATTTTCTTTATTGGACATGTAAGGTTCCAGACGTGTTATTTATATCTGAAGTATACACAAAGGGTCGGGAAAGGCAACCGTGCGATACCCCCCCACTTTCAGGGTTGACATAAATGTCAACATCTCTGATGAAGGAATGAGGATTTGAAGGAAAACAACATACATTTGTCATTTAAGAACAGTTGAGGCTAACTGCTATCATACCTTTAGAAGTAGTTTTTTAACACTTTAACTTCTAAATACAATAAAGTCATGAAAACAATAATAAACCGAAGGCGTTTTTCTATGCTATGTGCATATGTTGTGGTCCAGGTAGTTTATAACTACATTGTGATTGTTTGCTATGTTAATGACCAACTATGTTTACGACATGTTACTAATGATTCTAATTCAACTTAGTATGTAACACGAGTTTTGATTGGTCAATGCTATATATTTCCGACCGTATAATCAGCATATACGGTCGCAATTTGAAAACCGATTCACCAAAACCTTTAAATGCATCACTACACTTTTGGGGTAAAGCTGCTTTGCAGGACATTGTCATTTGCAGAAGCCATAGGTCAATTAACTGCCCTATCCAGCTAAAATGGGTGGAATTTGTGTTAAAAACGACAAAATAGTATCATAAATTTAATTTTAAGTTCAAACAACTTACTCGAAACGGGCTGTTGACCCAACACTGTTAGATCATGAAACAAGATTATGACGTCATTATGGAGCGTAACGTCACCTGCTGTGACGTCATTTGACAACAGAACTGATAATGGCCCGTAGTTAAGGAATCAACGGGCCGCTCGTTTCTGTAACTAGAGGGCGGTTTCATCATAATTCCTTACATTTTATCTATAATACTATGATCTAGTCATCATTGTCAAATTTAGTCTGTGTGCACATAATAAACGTGTGTAGTTTGAAAAGGGAACTACTTTCTCTGGCGATGGTGTAAGTTCAAGGAGTGATATGATTAACCTTTGACCTAGAGGAACTTTGACCTGGCTTAAATAATGAATTTCTTTCACGAAAAACAGCGTAAAACGAGTTGAATTAGAATGGGGATAACTGTACTGTGTTTGACGAAATTTAACGTTATAACTAAATTTGCGGCTATATAACCACCGGTATACGTCCCCAATTCGTCAAACACAGTACAGTTATCCCCTAAAACAGCATACATATTTAACATGTGATACATTTTGTGTAAACATCGCTGATTTCTTCCGCAACCAGTTTGGGGGCTGAAAGTGAAAGTGTAAAACTATATTATCATACCATGTGTGCGATATATATATGTTATATATATATATAAATGATACGTGCATTGACTACAAATTTCAGTCATTTCGTGAAATGACTAAGAGGAGAAGCCATTTCGCTATTGGCTACTAGTATATAAATAGGTTTGGACGTTTCCATCAAATTTGATGAAAATGTGCTTGATAACGATTGGCAATGTTCGTGATGCACGAAACAAATCGCCAAAACACATTTTGTGGCCCAGACTCTCAGAAACACGAAACGCATGTCTTAGTCAGATATATGGGAACGATCGTGCGAAAAATCAGTATATATGGCCTGTCGAACACTGCAATATCACTGCATATAAAGTCACACAGAGAGAATGCCAAGGTTTACCCAGGAAGAAAGAGAACGAGCAGTCGGGATAGTTGAATAGCTGACCCTCTTAGTTATTTCACGAAATGACTGATTTCACAATTTCACTGTAACATATATATTCAAAGGCAAAAGTTTTTGTGGCACACAAACAATAAACAGACTCAATATTAAACTTAAAATAATTAGATGATGACAGGGTATTACATTGAAAAATATGCAACTATCGGTAGTCAGCGCACCTGCAAAACCACAAGAGAGGTTTCACAAATCAAATTCACTCGGTCAGTAGCGAGTATGTCCACTTGTACATATTAAGGTCTGGCACCTTCGCTTCAATGAGGCAAATAAACATCTACGAAGACCATGGGAAATACATTCCACATTAGAGTTCCTGCAGCGTTGTTAGAGGATTCGGAAGCGGTCGTAAACGTCGCTCCATTTGATCCCTGACGTGTTCAATGGGTGACAAATCAGGGGATCGTGCGGGACAGGGAAGTACATTACCATTCTTCTGATTAAATGAGAACACAAACGCAATTTTTTGTCATAGAGGTAAAAACATTCTAAAAGTCACCTTCCATGATTATAAGTGAGCAAATCGTTTGTAAAATCACAATAAACACGTAAAAAACGCACTTGTATTACGGCCTATTACGGAAACAACCGACAGTTAATGACCAGGAGCGGGTATCATGTGACATGACGTCATATGTGTGCTTTTGCCGATGGCTTCCCCTTTGATTTTACCAGACAACTTGAAAGTGACCATGGATTCTGAAGCCGAAAAAGATGTTCTTGATGTCACATTTGACATGTACGTTAGACCGTATTGTTAGGAGCCGATTTTACATCTTGCAAGAGAAACGTCCAATGAAGATGAAGAAGAAGAATCAAGCAGAGGCACTACTTGATGTTACAAGCATTTTAAGATAGACGTTATGATGTATTTTATTTGTCGGCAAAATATGACAGAGTTTCAACATTGCACACCCACATCTATAATAAATTTAGATTACCAATCCCTAGGAAAATATTGCTATTGAAATGTGATTGCAGTTCTTTTTGTGTGAAACAGGTGACTTCAGGGAGTCTGAAAAATACAACAACAAGTTGATTGGTCCCAGGAAATGTTTAAAAATATAAGCATGCTTCAGACGGGCTAAAATAGAAATTGTCAGCACCAAACATTACACTGTTGCAAGGAAATATTTCGTTGAAGTTTTTTTTAGAATCACAGTTCTCATCAATATATTGCCTTGTCTCTAAACAAGATTTCAGCGTGGTCGAGATAATATATGCGACGCAGATAAAATATGTCCCGAAAACTGGTCACGTGAGTTCATGGATCTGCTAGCGGAATGGTGTCAGGCCGGGAAAGCCACATTTCAAAAATGACTAATGCCGGGTAGGCCA